GAATAATAAATACATGACTTTAAAAACTTTCAGTTTGCATATACCAACGTAAATCAATAGAACGTACTAACAGTCTCCCAAGGGTAAACATTGCTTTTCTTAAGCAGATCTGGGCACATGCAGCAGGCTGAACAACCTGAACAAATAAATAGTGGTACTATATCATAATATAAGATTTTGCATCATTAAATTTATAAATGCTATTCAAAGACCTTGACCAGTAAGTTTATGTCTCAAACTCCTACAATGTTTTACTTAATTCAGTAGCACATTGCTCCAAGGGGTACCATTGGTTTACAAACTACAACAGTTGCTTTTATAACAGTCAATTTACATAGATGCACTAAATTTAAGAGAAACCCAAAATGTAATTCAGTAAATAATAACTCAGTCCTGCTCATGGCAGCCATTTTTTCGCGGAGTCCCTTCGCAGCAGCATTTTCCCCTATATGGATATGTGAAAGCGGGGTGGCTCCACCCCCATCATCGACCAATCAGCGCGACTCCTGCTGCTGTACTGTCATAGGCTCGCGAAGGAGCAGCCGCAGCCCAGCAACAACAAACATTTTAGGCACTGTATTAATAAGTACATAATTAACTAGTTTACTTACAGCCCCACTCAGCTGAGTCAAAAAACAAGCACGTTTCTTCTTTTATTAGGTTTTATATTATCGTATTTAATTAATTTGGTTATGGACTTTAATGCAAAGATCTTTTCAGTATTTTACGCTATTTCTGTCACTAATGGGTGACGTTTGTATGTGTGTATGGTATAAACGTATTGCTTGACGTAATATAAATGGAATGAAAACCTGATCTAATTCCACAGTCCTGTATGGTTTCATTCTTGTTGCGTAGGAGTGCTTTAAGATAATCCAGTCGGCTGAAACACTTGACTATTCAAAAACACAGAAGTTGCGCAGTACATTCATGTTTTTTTTTCTTCCGAACACTAAATAAAAATATTTTATTATTGTCTAAATACATATATATTTTCGTTATAGTGATCTTGTTTTATATAAAAAAATCTAACAGCAAAATTACTGCACTGTTATATCCACTATTAAGACATTTAGACGACAAAACAGTAGTTCATGTGGGTTTTGACACATGCACTGATCAGTTTGTACAACTGCATGCTACCATTCGCGTCGTCTAAAGCCTCACGCTTTTCATACTTGACATACCGACATTGGTAACCTAGCAACCGCAACCGGATCGGGCTTGATCGAGGTTCCTGCCGCGGCTCGCTTCACCTCTCGGCCATTATTGCCACGTAGGCAATGGAGTCCATGAAGCCTGCAAAGGCTGTATTTATTTTGCCACTGTAGCTGAATCTGATCTCATTATTTGTTACTCCAATTTATCATTAGATTTAATTGCACTATAGTGATATAGGCGTCAATAGTATTGGCTTTGCTACAGTATTCATTTTTTTAATGAAATATTTCATTGTAAATCATGAAGCATTTAATATTTGCAACAATAAATACTCCATGTTAAAGTACTAAAACAACTATTATCAGTAGATTAAAAATTGTACCTCATTTGAATGATGTGGTTTTGTGTTTGTTTATCTCGGTCGGGGTCTTTTCTTTACATTTTTTTTTTCTTTCCCCCCCCACTTCCGTACCCTTTCTGGTGTTCTTGTTTGTGCGGTTTCTCCAGCAGACTCCTTCTGTCTCTCAGTCCTGTGCTTGTGCAGCCCTGCTGCCTGTTTCCTCCGCCAGTACATTTCGCTTTCCCAGAGAGCAAAGACAATTATGTTATTGTTTGTAGAATAACTAAATATTTTTTTAAGATTTAAAATTAGAAATGTATATAGTTAACATTAGATGAGATGCACAATTACTCTTTGTCGACAAGTGGAAGCGGGATATAAATAGCAGACAATTACTTAACCTAAATAAAGACATTTTTGATGGATTTACAGGCTACAGCCCCGCTTTATTCCCTCTTCAGCCTGGGGTAGGCGCCATACAGGAAGATGGATCTCTTAATTATGAGACAAATATATGAATACATAAAGAATTTATCCTTCATGGGCAAAAAAAAAAAATCATGGAAATTCCATAGACATGGAAAACGGTGGCTAAAGTAGATTATTTTTACAGAAATATTTACATTTAAATAATGTTTCAAGCAATATAATAATGGCCATCCATCCTTCGGTCCCTTATCCTGGGTCAGTATAGGACCCACCATGGACAGAATGCCCATGCATCTGCAGTAGGAATCAAAAACAGCCACACACTATCATCCATTTCGGCGCCATCTCACCTAATTATACGTCTTTGGACTGCAGAAGGACACTGAAATAGCCAGAGGATTTTTTCATGAAATGGGGAGACCCTTCCCTTAAACTTTTGTAATAATACATATCACATTTTAATTGAATAAGAACCTAGGCACCCATTTTTATTACCATTCAGATGCTACCTTCAGGCTGAAGTTACCACTATCCAGCTTTTTATAGAAACTTGACAAAACAGTCATTTATACAACAAGCATTTAGCTTCTTAAATAAACACCTGAACGGTAACATGGGGTCTTGATTGTTTTCTGACTGTACAGCGGGCCTGAGCAGTGACAAGTTTTTAAACATATATACTGAAGGCTTCTGCATGTGCAATACTGGTGACAAGTCTATTCTTTAGTCTACTTTTTCATGAGGTACAGTATTATATTACGCTATGACTGGTGTAATACGTACTGTGTTAAGGGTACTGGTGTAATACGTACTGTGTTTAACCTGATGGAATTGTCACGCCAGTGACGTCTGACGTGTTATTCACTGAAAAATCGTTTCCCTATAGGGACAATGAAGAATCTATCCTATCCCAATTACTTAAAAATTACCAATTTTTTTGCAGGTTAAACTAATTTGATATTTACTGGATATGATAAAGCTATAGCTATATTGCAGTGGTTGTTTTATACGTCACTTCATCAAACTAGCCTCCTGTCCAGGATGTTCCCTTGACTTATACCTTGTACTGTCTGAGTCCTGTTCTAGATAATGGATGGATGGAATAACTTTTATGGGACTGTTTTACTTATGATTTGAAAACAAAAATAAAAATAAAAATAATTCCTAAACACGTCGGGAAAATCCCACAAAAATCATTGCACAATTAAGCTTACTTATAAACGTTACGGAATTGGCGTGTTGGCGAACACAAAAGTAAGCTGCGCCATCTAGTGGTACCGTCATGGGATTTTATTGCGTTTGTTCCACCATTTTAATAGCGGCTTATCCGGATTTGTGACTGTCAGAATGCAGAGCGAACCGTAGCAGGTCACTAATGCATTGCAGTCAAAATATCACCTAGACCCGGATGGGAGAAAAGTGCAGTTCTAGGATGAAACCTCGGAAAAATATTGCCTCTGACGAGGTGGATTTGAGGCACTAAAAAAAATCTGTTCTGGAGATGGGAAGTGACCCTTCCCCTTACTGTGGCGGTGGCTGTCATTCCCATGCACGTGCCGGGGCTTTCAAATTTCTTAAACCAAGGATTGCCAAATGAAAAGAAACCATTAATGTTGAACAGGAAACCAGGGGCTAAGTCAAGTTTATCTGTGGCTTGTTTTTTTTTTTTTTTTTGTTTATTTTGAAGGAAGGGCATCTTAGCCCTGAGTGATCGGACATAATGACGGCCATGATATTGAGCATTTCTCTCTGTTTTGTTCTGAATTTGCTGTATTGCCCATAGTGTGTGAAGAACAAACGGGGTACCACACACACAATTCACTGCATGGAATACACAGCTTAAGAGTGTAGACTACTGGCTGGGGTGAAATTTTCAGTATGAGACAAGTCTGCACACACATGCACACGCATTTACATGTATGTAACAATTTATTTACTCTCTAAATAGTCTGTATGGTTTGCAAACTACCCCAATGCTTTGGATGTAGCTGATTTTAGGTTTTTAATGGAATAATATAGATTTTCTGTAAGATTTCTTGCCTGATCGTGAGAGTCTGAATGTGTGTCACACCAGTGTTGGTAACCCTGTAAGGAGATTAATCACATGTACATGCTTTACATTCTATTGCAGATTGTGGGATCATCCCATGTTATGCTAATTTTGTAATGAATGCACTGATGAAAACAGAAGATTTCTTTTGTAATGCCTATATATCAGTAATTCTCTTCTGGTTATACCTCAGGGCCTACATGTTTCCTTGGTCATTAAGTCATGACTCAGATTGTTTACATTTTGAACCATATAGGCCTACAAGCTGGACATGGGGCTAATTTTAATAATGAATATTAATCACACTACCAAGAAAAATATATAACATGAAAAGTAAAAGACATATTTAGAAATCTGGCTGGCAAAAAGCAGCCACTGTTTGTGGGAACATAAATACTAATTACAAGAGATATGTTTCAATTATTTAATCAATTGATTTGTTTTACCTTTCAGTTAAATATAAAGCCAAAGGTCAATAGGAGAACAAAGATTTAAAAAATAATAATAATAAACAACGTGGAAATGCAAGTGCATTTTTTTGTGTTGGTGTTTTGGTGCATTAAGCTACCTTAAGCTATTGCTGTAAGATATAATGGGTTTTTAATTAACAGAGGTGAAAAGGCATCCAATTCCTGTAAGGTCTCAGAAGGCTTAACGTTAATATTATAATTTTGTACAGTTTCGTGCAACTGTTAACATAATACATAGTACTTAAAACCAGCGAGACGTACAAGAAGTGAGCTTTTTCTGCCGTTTTAGAATTGGGTTTTAATAGCGATGAATAGTGCAAGGTGAATTTTATAATTTTGTGTTTGGATTACAGTTTTATAAATTTCACAATAGCTTATACTTTCCCAGCGTAATGTGAGATAATTATGGTTTTCCTAAGTTGCTGTATTTAAATATTAAGCCACATTAAGAGTTTTACACTACTGTCAATAATCGGGGGGGGGGGGGGGGGGTGTACCCTTGTTGATGATGAGACATTTTCTAAGCGGAACCACAGAAGAGTCACGGTGCGATCCTGCCACCCCAATCAAAATATCTCATAGATAGATAGAAAACCGAAATTTGTTTTTTTCCAGGATCGCCATTTTAATATTTCAACGGCATTCATTTTAGCCTTCCTATACACTACTCTGCCTGCGTGATGGCAAAATCTTGTTTTTTATATTTCGGTACATTTATTATAAGACGGCTTAACCAATACTTTCACCTGTCAAATAAAAAAATGCAAAGGCTTTTCATAAAATTTTGAACGGCGGTTCTACGCCATACATGTAGCTTGAGTTAATGTCGTCTGTCCCAGCATCGGGAAATTAAAAGAATTCCAAAGGGACGGACAGTAATGAAGGTGACAGGACGTCGTCGCTCGAGACACCGGGGGACAGTCCTACGTCATCGGGGAGTTTCACGCGGCGTCTGTCACGAGCCCTTCCGGGTTTAGGTAATCCCCACATTTCCTCTCGTTAACGCGAATTAAACTGGACGGCGAAAGCGCCGCCGACTAGTTGGCCCACGAGAGGCAAAGGCTGCGCACGTTAGAGGGAATTACCCTTGCAGAAGCAGAAAAAGATGTTAATCACCGCCGCTTTGCACGTGTCAAAGATTGCTTAGTTTTCTGCTAACGAGTAAACAGAAAAAGTTTGTGGATATGATGCAGAAAAGAAATCAGATAAAATTAAATCCCGAGGTTTTTTAAAGAGCAAATCCATACGTTTGGCAAAGTGCGTTTTTTCTTCAAAATAAGAAATCGCATATACGGTATATCTGCTGCATAAAATAGCAAAGAGCGAGGCGTGGGATTCCCAGCGAGATGACTCCTCTGCAGATCGCGCTTTGCCTGCTCGTAGCGGCTGCCTGGAAAGTGTCCTGCGAGCTGCGAACGGCGCCTTCACCTGCCGCGACGCCGGACTCCGCATCGCCGATGGCAGAGGGCGCGCGTTTTAACCGGAGCTCGAACCATTCGGCGCCCTTCGGCTCCCGCATCTACTCCATCGCCAACGACCTGCCGACGCTGAAGAGCGCAGTCATCTTTATATGCGCTTTCACCGTTTTTCTAATAATCTGCCTGGTCATCAAAATGTACAGGTGAGAGCATTTAATGATCGATTTACCATAATAGACTTAGAGTGCTCCATATGGCGCAATGTTTTACCGCAGCATTTTTGCCAGAGATGAGAAAAATTCACTTTTTTATCTTGTGTGTGATCGTGTGCTCTCCTACGCAGCATATACCAAAACAATATTTACCCTTTTTGTAAAATAATTACACCTTGAGGTTTACCTCCGATTTTTTTTTTGCTGTCTGACAGTTAAGTTAATTTAGAAGATCATCTCTATGGCACTGACCTGCGTTCGCTCAAAAATATTTGTGATAACTACAGTTTTTTTTTTTTTTGAAAAAAAAAAAAAAAAAAAAACAGATAATTTACCATCAGTACCATCAATGTTATTTTAAGTACGTGTGTAATTGAAAATTTGTTATAGACCGTGTATAAGGCTTTGTTTACGCTGGGTAGGCTATTTATATAAATACTTATTTATGTCACAATATTATTACTTTAAATATGTGAGGCCGGTCTTCTGACTTTCTGGCATGCTTTTATTACTGTAGCAGATGCATGAAGATGATTTTTAAAAAAGTTCATGTCGTGCATGTTGTTGTTGTTGTTGTTGTTGTAGGTCCGGGAGGAAGATAAGGAAAACACGAAAGTATGATATAATTACCACTCCTGCCGAACGGGTGGAAATGGCACCTCTCAACGAAGAGAATTATGAGGAAGATGACTCTACCATTTTTGATGTGAAGTACAGGTATGGACAGCCCTTTAAGAAAAACGGAAATATTTTAACGAAAGCTTTCTTTTTCTATAAAACTGTCCCTAAATATATGCCGCATCATATGTAGGCTATATACTCACATATGATGAAAATATTGCAAATTTAATACGTTACGTCTTTTTTTTGTCCAGAAAGAAAAAAGACGGTTGCAAAGGTAACGGTCTTGCTAGATCAGTCAAACAGAGAGAACGATGAAATGTGCTCAGTCCACATGAAGCACAAGCCTTGTGCCTGCTCTGAATACTTTGTTCTGTCTATAAAATGAGTTTTGGCTGACGCCATATGAGAGACACAATACAAGAAAATGAATGGAGGCTTCATTTAACTTAAAAGTCAAGTAGATTAATGAACCACCAGCTAAATTCTGTGCTTGGGTGGTCTGCCCATAATATTCCATGGTACTTTCAAATATTTAAACATTAATTGTTCTTAACTAGTATTAATCTTGTAGGAATGTTGTGTTTCGTAAGAATGTGAACATATATGTGCCGTGCGATGGACTGACATACCCTGTCCAGGGTGTTCCCAACTCCCCTGGCCCCCCAGCCCTGATAAGGGGTTATAGGATGGATGGAATGCTGTCAATATTACCACTAGCAGTCAACATTGTCAGCATCTAATTAAAAAGTAAATGTAACAGCCTATACAACATTTCGGAATTTACTCATCTCATTTGACTGTTGTCACGTAATTTCTGAATAACTTTTTTGTAGCCCCCCCAGACCAGTGGGGACTGACCCTCCTAAATTCTTCTCCTCCAACTACAGCATTGCCTTGTTCCCACTTATCCTTGCTTCTCAAATTAGTTATTCTCTTGGCAGCAATCCTTTAACATGCCACCATTTTTATATGTACATATTTTGTACATGTTTTTTTTCCCCCCAAGTTGCATCTAATCAATCAACAATAAATCAGTGCACTATATATGTATGTATATTACAATGTAACCCATGATGCCTTGCATCGCTCCAAATGTGTAAATGTTTAAATGTGTGGATCAATTGGGCATAAGTTTCAGGACTGTGAGCACTAATGACATCAGACAGTTTAAAATGCCAGAAGACGATTACTAGCATGTACTTTTTATAAGAATTTGCCATATGGATTGTTCGCAAGGCGTGTTTTTAAGCGTCTTTCACTGGAAAGTTGTGATGTGGCGTCAGGTTTGTGTGTGTTACACTTCGCCTTCTCCCTTCCGCCTGATCTATTGTTCTCTGACCCTGACCACGCTTCCTGGCAGTGAGACACCGCTTCCTGTTTTCCCAATTTTTTGTGGTGAAATTCCTTCTTGGCTGATCCACGGCAAACGGATAGAAATGGTGCAAATTTCTCAGCTTTTGCAGGATGAGAAACTTAAGAAGCAGCTAAATTAGCCTGGACTCTCCAATAAAATCCCAGCCCTTTATGGCATCTGGAGCTGACGCTGTTTGTTTGCTTCTAGCTTTTGAAGGCCATTGCAGGGTCAATACAGCCATGACTTTGTGAAGAAGGTGCAGCTGGAAAGAGGAATCCCTTGTATAGACTTAAAAACCTAAAAACTACTCTAAGTCAAAGAGCCTGATATGACCTTGGTTCTGTTTCCCAAAAGAATAGTTGCTAACAACGTTAGCAACTTACATAGTTTGAACCATGCAGCTGAACAGTTCCAGCTATTTAACGGGAGCTTCTGGGAAATGTAACCCGGATTTGTCACATGGTACAGGATTGACACCATGGATCGGTACTAGTGCTGTTTTAACAATTTAATATCTTTTTACATTTTTCAGGTGAAGGAATCAATCATGGGACATTCATCGAAAATATCTCAAAGTCTGTACAGGATGCAAAACCATGGACTGTCGTTGTGTCGGTAATTTTTGCTTTTTTTCCCCTTCTCCATCCTTTTGTTTTGCATTTTGTTGTAAAACGCAGACTAACGAGACAACCCAGCCAATTACACAACAAACCAGCGGGTTGACCATGAGGACTATAAGTCGCTTCTTTTAATGGCTGTCTCAACCACTATGTGATTCCACCACCAAATATCCTACCAGCATGTCCTTTCTGGCTGTATGAAGCGAATTACAGTGTGAGCAGGCAAGACCCCTCAATGCTCAATTCTCATCAGGCCTCGCAGAGCATAAATGATTGTCTTTGTGCTTCGTGTCTTGCAATATGAATCTTTCATAAGAAGGATTTTAAAGTCAGTGATGCAGGCAGTCTGAGAACTTACTATTTTTTTAATAAGTTCAAGTTTTGTGATTTGTATATGTGGGGGGAAAAAAAACCAAGTAAATATTGCCAAAGGTGTCACTTGCATGTGGATGGTGAAGGATTCTTTCTCTGCCTGGAAATCTCATCCCCTTCGAATCGTTTGCGTACGTGGCCAAACCCTGCACGCCTGGCAAATTTAATTTGTGCTTAATTTAATCTGTGACCATGGGCCTAGGCTCAAGTTAGACCTTATCTGCTATTTATCCAGACTGTCCTCATTATTGCACGAGGTAAAATGAGCCGCTGTTTGTTCCCTGTGATCTGGACGTTTTCCCGTAGGCCCTCGTGCCGAATGGCTGAGGGGCGATATTTCCCAGAATGCCGTTTTTTCCGGAAATTCGCCATACTTGGAATATGTAAACAACATTGCTGGGATTTCAGATCTCCCAGCAGAATCGGCGCTTTGCAACCAGAAGCTCTGAGAGTCTGCGGTGGGATGATACCAGATGTATATAGTTACACATATTCCGGAGATGATGATTTATATATTAATGCGTATTTTTGTGTTGTGATTCTATGTACCTAATTTACATTTCCTGATATTCAGTGGTATAATATATGATGTGTAAATTCCTGTCGATGGTCTTTGACTGGAAGAATATTATCTATACACTTACAGAGCAGTCATAGTGTTCATCCCCCCTCCCATGCTGCTATGTAAACCAAAGCTGGAAGTGAATTCTCGGGGGGGGGGAGATTTACCTAAAGAAGGAAATTCCGAAGAAGGGCTTTGGGGAGAGCATTTCAATCATTGTCCCACTATTTTTTGTTGTGGGAAGGGGGGCAGTGAAGATGTTCTATATTTTGTTTCTGACACCCCCCCCCACACTATGTGCACTACAAAAAAGTAATTTAATTTTTCAAAAAAAAAATTAAATGTTCATTGGTTTATAGAGTATTTATGAATTGACTGTCCTGTAGAAAACTGGAAATTCCTTCAGAAGTGCACTTCCGCATCATTTACCCTTCTGCAGAACTGCCGAATAAACAGCATCCAAATGTATCTCACCTGAGGATTTGTTAATGAATCTTTACATGTCTGTCAGGACAAATTTCAGACCTCTGAAGTACTTTTGGCTCAGACTGGACCAATCATACAAGTGACTGGATGATGTCTTAATACCTCCAACTGCAGCCATCCATCCATCCATCCATCTTCGACCGCTTTTCCGGGTCGGGTCGCGGGGGCAGCAGTCTAAGCAGGGAAGCCCAGACTTCTCTCTCCCCGGCCACTTCGTCCAGCTCCTCCGGGGGAATCCTGAGGCGTTTCCCGGCCACTTCGTCCACATAGTCTCTTCAGCGTGTCCTGTGTCTTCCCTGGAGCCTCTTCCCAGTTGGACATGCCCAGAACATCTCACCAGGGAGGCGTCCAGGAGGCATCCTGACCAGACGCCCGAGCCACCCCATCTGGCTCCTCTCCATGCGGATGAGCAGCGCCCCCCAACTGCATTTAAAGGGTTTTTTTGCGTTGGTGCCTTTTCAGGTCATATACTAGTTATGTTACTTCTGTCCGTGTAGAAAAAGCAGCACACTTACCAGCTTGTTATGCTTAAATAACCACTTAAGGGGAACAGAACACTGAGCCTGCCTTTCTGAACGCTTTGTAGTATGTCCATCAGGCTGGTCATGAAAGGTACATTCATATGCTCTTGTTTGTGATAAGACTGGATCTCTGCAGAGTGGTGCTTGGGATTTGGAACTGGTGTTGGAGCAGGAGAAAAAGCTGGTGTTTTATAAGCCCAATCCAGGTGTTTACTGGAGATCCCCCTTCCCCCCCCCCCCCCCACCAGTTTAAATGTCATTTGTACCCCAGTGAGTAAGCGAATGCCTCGCTGCCCTCTTGCACGATACTTCCAGAGCCTTCTCCTTCCTGTGCTATGCTCACGTCAGCACCAGCCACGCTCTGTCTACGTCTTTGCTAGTCATTTTCTGGCTTTTGTCACACTCTTCCCATTAAATCTAATCCTGTATTCGACATTGTGGTTCGTGTTACTGTGCTGTACGAGCTGTTAATTTGTATGCAAGTGAATCAGTCTCTACTGATGGGAATGATATCTTCACCCAATAAAGTATATTTTATGGTATTAAAATGCCTGGATATTGGTGCATGCCATTTGTGGTATGTAGTAGAATTAGCTGGGGTTTAATGTAAAGCCATCTTTAGGCTGTTCATGTGTCTGTTTTTTGCTGATGTCGCAGTGTATCGGAGAACATGAAGACATCACCCCTGCCCCCCCCCCAGCCCCTTTTATGTCCTGGTATTAGGTTCTTGCTTTTCCCCAAACAAACAGTAGGAAGTTCTTCATCAAGATCACAGTGTGTCCAGATGCATAAACCGAATAAAGATTCTTATAAATCAGTTTCCATGGTAGCACTTTGTATGATCTTTTTTTTTTCTCAGATGACATCCTCCCCAAGTAGGGAATTCATTGTAATGTTCTTGTATTTTGACTGGGGAAATTTGATGATTATTATTTTAAATCAGTAACACTTTCAAGCATTTATGATTTCCTGCCAATTTCATTACTATTGAGGGAAATGTTCTCGGTTGACATTTTTACGCGTAGCTGAAAGCAGGGAAATCGCTTTTCATCTTTACTCTAAGCAAGACCACAAAAACCCTGCTGTATGTCGTAAAGATGGGGGCCAGGAGGGAGCAAATATCCTTAAAAAATAAACTGGAGACAAAGCTGCCCCCGTCATGAAGTGTTAAATATGTTTATAAAAGAACAGGACAAAAATTACTCCACCCCCCCACCCCCACATTTATAGAGCCTGTGTCTCCAATGAGGGCCAGAAGGATGTTGTGGGATTAATTTGGTTCAGTACCACTGGTCACAGACTGCTTCTATAAAAGAAGGAGCACATGTCTTTGTAGATAAACACATTTATTTTCTGGGTGGTTTACTGACGTATGCAGTGCGGTACCAGTCTATTTTTAACCCGAATCATAGGAGCGACGTAAGAGCAGAGCGTTTTCTATCAAAGCAGGGTTGGAAGGACATGGCAGGGCTGCAGGCGTCACACGTGGCCTTGATTACGTTCCTCTGCTCTTGATGGAGCCATTCTGGTATTAATCCCCAGTGCCACAGGAATGCCACGGCGCTCCGAGGCTGTTCGCCGCCTGATCTCTGAACAGCCTGCTCCCCACCTTATTGTAGCGCCAAATGTCTTCTGCACTCATAGGAAGTTTAAGGGAATGTGGAAGTGGCACAGAACGCGAGCGCTGCTTTCCTCGGCGCAGCAGAGAGCCCGGTGCACAGCAGACGGCGTGCCCGTGACCTTTCGAGCCGCAGGGGGTTACCCCCGCACTACAAAGACCGCGATCAGCTCGTCAGCGGGACGAGCTTCTGAGCAACAGTTCGCCAGTGTTTCGAAAGCCAGTCTGGAGGAAAGCGTGTGTCTTAAACATGCCCGAGGGGGTTGGGGCTTGTAAAGATATCTCTGCATGGAAATGTGGGTAATTCCTGGAATTGGCTGTTTGCTCTTCCCTTGACAAAGGTTTCATTGTCTCATTCTGTTGGATTGACTGATAAGCACCTTTCTAGACTGCCTCTCCTTCACAAAGAGTATTTAAAAGATGGTTTACATAGCCTAGAGAAACAGCTAGATAGCACAGTTCAACTGTAATGGCATTTTAAAAGCATTGTACAGAACTTGTTAGGAACTTGAAATGATTTCATATTGACATCACTCTACCTGCCAAGTAACTCCTCTCTTCACTGAAATTATAGTTGACTTAGTTGCCAAGTTCAACATTCTCCTTGCGTGAGCAGCAGCTGAATTTTAAGGGTTTAAAATTAGGGGACGTAAGTGAGCCTTAAAACGTAGTGACCATACAAACATGAGAATAAAATGCTAGGTTAAAATGCTCTCCCTTTGCGCACGCTTCTGGAAGGGCGGGGAGAGAGAATCTGCTATGTGGTGTAGTATTAACAGAGCTTTTTAAAGTTTTCTTAATATACTTTTAGAAAAGTCTGTTAGTCTGTCAGTAATAGGCCTACATAAGGAGAAGAAGTCAAACAAAATTATATTAACCAGTTTCAGTCTGTACAGAATAATTACATGAAGGACCTGATGTCTGATTACATTGTGATATGTTCACATTATTTTACGGGGGCTCACAGTTACTTCAGATGGACAAACCTCAGCGTTTCCAAGGTAACTTGCCTTGTTTGAGTGGTCTGTGTTGACATCAAACAGGATGCTAGGTAAAGCCCACAGGACTTGGATTGTGTCCTGATGAATCAGCTTAAATCTGCTGAGCATCCTGCAACGAAATACGCAGGCGTTGGAGATGTGGCTGGTGAGCTTCCGCCGACCCACATCTAGAGGCGTCCTGTGGCGTTTCGGCAGGACCCCGTGTGGAGCTGTAGGACTCCCAGGGCGTGCAGTCTGCTCAGGGTCCTAAACTCCAGCGGCATGGTGTGTGGGCTGGTACGGGATGTGTAGCCGTACGTCAGACTGTCGTAGTAGTGATACTTCACTGCGTTTCCCTGGGCATCATGTGAGAAGGGCCAGAAGCCGTAAAGGTGGATCTCCTCGCAGAAACGTGTGGCCATGGTGTACATCAGCAGGCCCGTGGTCGGTCTCTTGATGTGGACCTTGTTGGTCAACCAGTACCTGTGCAAGTACACAGACACACAGCAGAGAGATTCACCTTAACAAGGAGTGCGTTCGTACTGTACCTGTGCAGGTACACAGACACGCAGCAGAGAGATTCACCTTAACGAGGAGTGCGTTCGTACTGTACCTGTGCAGGTACACAGACACGCAGCAGAGAGATTATCTTTTCTATCTTTTCTGTAATCCCGGGGGCTATGGGTGTAAGGCAGCACACACGCACACACACACACACACACACACACACACACTTGTCTAAATTGTGTCATGAAATTAACCTCTCAGACGACTGACATAAGACAGCTGCCATATGTGCACAATGTGCATAATGCTTATGTGCATAAAATCACTTAAAACTTAATCAAATGATATGACGCCATCAAATCATCGTCATCACTGCTTTAATTCGGTTTAGGCTACATCCAGCTATGTTTGAGCAGTATTTAGTTTTTCATACAATCATACTTTTCATACATTATACCACAGTATGTGGTATTTTGACTGCATTTTCCAAAGCACTGCTATTTATTCACATACTAATATCACACACTAATATCGCCCTCAGGTGGCCAGTCTTGGGCTCACATCTGTGCTGCGTGTGTTATTGTTTGAACAGCTTCTCTTTAAAAGCCTGTGAATTCAGGGCTTCTGAAGAGCTTGATCAACATTACATGCATTCTTCTGTTTGCACAAATGGGGAGGAAGCGGCAGGAACCTGGCAACCCCACACGCAAACACTTCGCTGTTGTCTGTCCTGCAGAAGGAGTGAAAGAAAGGCAGGCCACAGGCCGCTATAGAGGTGATCTCTCTGCCCGCTTAAAATTCCAACAGCATTACAGTTTTGTGTTTGGGGGTCTTTTTTCACCCCGAAGGAGGTGAAGTCTTGATTCCGATATCCGTGAGAAATCAGATCAAGCTACTCTGTGACACACAACACCACTCTCTACTTCATTCCCATCTGGGGGGGGGTGGACTTTTGTTAGCTGGCTTGAGTGAGATTTTCAATTTGAGACAAATCTGCACACACATGTACATGTATTTAAACAATTTTATTACCTTGTAAATAGTCTGTTGGTTGCAAACTTCCCCTACACTGTACATGTAGCTAATTTTAGGTTTATAATGGAATAAATTAGATTTCTTGTGTGAGCATGAGAGTCTGAAAGGGTGAGTGTCATGCCAGATGCGTAAGACCTGCCAACCTTGGGAGGGTGACAGGAAGCATGACCCCGACAGTCTGAAGAAACACGGAGCAGGCTACTGCTCCAAAGGCCCACCTGCCCTGGTCATTCAGTGCTGCCTGTAGGACTCACCTACCATCTAAAGCAGCCCTGGCTCCTGACCATCAAAAAGGACTGCGAAATGTATCATCCAGTTAGTCATTCACACATGCTTCACAGATTAAAGTGGGCGTATACTTCAAATGAAATCAATGGAATTGACGTGGAATGAGCCATAATCACCGCGGTAATCACTCTTTCGGTGCCCTACTTGTACAAGGCCCCAGATGCAAAATTTTTCATTTGTTCTGATCCCACCCCCTATTCACGATTGGCTAACATAATATGACGCTATCCTCTCCTGGAGCTGACAAATTATCGTGGTGGAGGGGTTTGCGTGTTCCAATGATCCCAGAAGCTAAGTTGCCCGGGACTTTATGCCCCTGGTAGGGCCACCCAAGGCAAACAGGTCCTGGGTGAGGAACCAGACGAAGTGCGGCTCATTAGACCCCTTATGATGACAAACGACATGGATTTGCGTTTCCCACCCGCCCGAACGCGGGTCACTGGGGCCCCTCCCTGGAGCCAGGCCTGGGGGTGGGGCTCGATGGCGAGCGCCTGGTGGCCAGGTCTGCACCCATGGGGCCTGGTTGGGCACAGCCTGAAGAAGGCATGTGGTTCTGCCCTCCAATGGGCTCACCACCTGTAGGAGGGGCCAAAGGGGTCGGGTGCAGTGTGAGTTGGGCAGTGGCCTAAGGCGGGGACCTTGGTGGTCTGATCCTCATCTGCAGAAGCTGGCTCCAGGGACATGGAATGTCACCTCTCTGGCAGGGAAGGAGCCTGAGCTGGTGCGCAAGGTTGTGAGGTTCCTACTAGATAAAGTTGGGTTCACCTCAACACATGGCTTGGGCTCTGGAACCAATCTCCTAGAGGGGGGTTGGACCCTCTTCCACTCTGGAGTTGCTTGCGGGTAGAGGCGCTGAGCAGGGGTGGGCACACTTATTGCCTACTGGCTGGGCGCCTGTGCATTGGGGTTTACCACAGTGTACGAGAGGGTAGCCTCCATTCTCCTTCGGGTGGGGGGACGGGTTCTAACTGTTGTTTACGCTTATGCGCAGTAAGTCGGACTCCTTTCGGGTGAGGGTTGGACTCTGCCAGATTTGCCCTTTGTCACCGATTCTGTTCATAACTTTTATGGACAGAATTTCTAGGCGCAGCCAGGGCATTGAGGGTGTCCGGTTTGGTGACCTCAGGATTAGGTCTCTGCTTTTTGCAGATGATATGGTTCTGTTGGCTTCATCGGACCATGACCTTCAGCTCTCACTGGAGCAATTCACAGCCGAGTGTGAAGCGGGTGGGATGAAAATCAGCACCTCCGAATCCGAGAACATGGTCCTCAGCTGAAAAAGGGTGGAGTGCTCTCTCCGGGTCGGGGAGGGAGTCCTTCCCCAAGTGGAGTAGTTTAAGTATCTTGGGGTCTTGTTCACGAGTGGGGTGACGATGGAGCGGGAGATCGACAGGCGGATTGGTGCGGCGTCCGCAGTGATGCGGGCGCTGCATCGGTCTGTCATGGTGAAGAAGGAGCTGAGCCAAAAGGCAAAGCTCTCGATTTACCAGTCGATCTACGTTCCTACCCTCACCTATGGTCACGAGCTGTGGGTAGTGACCGAAAGAACGAGGTTGCGAATTCAAGCGGCCAAAATGGGTTTCCTCCACAGGGTGGCTGGGCTCTCCTTTAGAGATAGGGTGAGGAGCTCGGTCATTCGGGAGGGACTCAGAGTAGAGCCGCTGCTCCTCCGCATTGAGAGGAGCCAGATGAGGTGGCTCGGGCATCTAGTCAGGATGCCTCCTGGACGCCTCCCTGGTGAGGTGTTCCGGGCATGTCCCACTGGGAGGAGGCCCCGGGGAAGACCCAGGACACGCTGGAGGGACTATGTCTCTCAGCTGGCTTGGGAACGCCTCGGGATTCCCTTGGAGGAGCTGGACAAGGAGAGGGAAGTCTGGGTTTCCCTGCTTAGACTAATGCCCCTGCAACCCGACCCCAAAAAGTGGTAGAACATGGATGGATGGATGGATGGATGGAATATAACGCTGCGGCTGGTCAGCAGGACTAAATATGCAGTTACCAGCATGCTTTGCACTGCACCACACATATCTTTTAATAATGTAAATTAATACGTGTATCTGTGTAATTATGTTGTAAATAAAAAATGTCATAACTATGTAATGTTTGTTAGCACGTAGCCATGAGTGTCGTGTAAATTCTCTGTCTGTGCCGCTGTTAATGAAGAGAGCAACTTCCATTTTAAAAGAGCTTTCATCTCCTTTATTAAAACGACTCACATACTCACCACAATATGTTTATTTGTGCTCTATTTGTGGGTCTGCTGCATTAAAATCACCCTGCAGCCTCTAGGGTTGTGGTGTGACAGACCGAGACATAGATGTTTTAAGTATGCAACAGATTGTCCTCGTCGACGTGTTCAATTACGTTTTGTTCGGATGTCATTTGAAATGTGCAGTGAATGTCAGTGTGAGGCTGAGGGTATGTGTGTGTGGTCCCCGGAATCAGTCTGAGGGTATGTCTCTGGTCCCTGGTGTGAGTCTGAGGATTTATGGGCGTTTTTCCACTGCACCAGGTACCGAACTTTTCGTACTTCGGGAAAGTACCGAAAGTACAGTACTTCAAGGTGTTGGTTTTCCACTGGCATAAAAACTGGTACCGGCGCAAGGCATGGGCATTTTGTACTGAATCTGAAAAATGGCTTGGCAATGTACAATATTAATACCAACATCACATGCTTTGCACATTCAATTGTTACATCGCTAGTCAGCTAAATTAAAGGCTTTTTTCTTACTTTCAATTCTGTATGGACATCATAGTGCAGGGGGTTAAAATTTTGCTGTTACTCTGTCATAGGAAAAAAAACTTGCTATTTTAATTATTATTCCTTTTATAGATTCCTATATGTTTAAAAATCAGTTCAAAGTTTATCTTTTGCATGAGAGGTGCATACATTCTCCAAGACAACTGTAATCATTTTCATCCATGCCGTTTATATCACTCGAAATATATTGCTATATTTATAACAAAATCACATTGCTAGGACAGTACGCTATATGCATGCTGTATTAGTATATTCAACAAGATTGCTTTTTAATTGCTTGTCATGCCATCCGAGTCTTTTTGTTCTATATGTTCTTTCAACCAAGTTGGATTCTTTTTTACTGCGTTTATATTGTTTTCTGAGTTCGCAACCGTTTTCAAGACAGCAGTTGTATTGTGTTTCAGCGACAGGCTATTTGTATAACCAATTAACAAAGAAAGCGTTTCAAGTCCCACCCCAAAGTACCAATGAAGTACCCCAGCTGGTTTGGTACTTTCGGTACTGGAACTTTTGGTACCGGTACTCGACTGGAAGTCAATGGAAAAGTGAGAGTACCAAAAGTACCATACCAAAAGTACCACACTTGGTGTGGTGGAAAAGCACCGTATGTGAGTCTGAGAGTGTCTCTGGTCCCTGGTGTGAATCTGAGGGTGTCTCTGGTCCCCAATGTGAGTCTGAGGGTGACTCTGGTCCCCGTTGTGAGTCTGAGGGTGACTCTGGTCCCCGGTGTGAGTCTGAGGGTGTCTCTGGTCCCCGGTGTGAGTCTGAGGGTGACTCTGGTCCCCAATGTGAGTCTGAGGGTGACTCTGGTCCCCGATGTAAGTCTGAGGGTGACTCTGGTCCCCGATGTGAGTCTGAGGGTGACTCTGGTCCCCGATGTGAGTCTGAGGGTGTCTCTGGTCCCCAGTGTGAGTCTGAGGGTGTCTCTGGTCCCCGGTGTGAGTCTGAGGGTGACTCTGGTCCCCAATGTGAGTCTGAGGGTGTCTCTGGTCCCCGGTGTGAGTCTGAGGGTGTCTCTGGTCCCCGGTGTGAGTCTGAGGGTGACTCTGGTCCCCAGTGTGAGTCTGAGGGTGTGATATTAGCTGTCTCACCCACGCACAGCATCCAGCAGGCGCAGGGAAGGGAAGGCAGGCCTGACTGCAAGGCGCTGCCGCCGGATGACGTCGAGGGCCAACTCCACTCGCCGCTCACCGCCTTTGGCCATGAAGGCAGGGATCCAGAGCACAGCGTCGCCGAGGCCGCGCAGCCGCTGCAGGAAGTGCTCCCGCCAGCGGGCACTGCCTAGGTCCTGGAAGGCCCTCTGAACCACCGAGGGGTTCATGGTCACCAGGCCCGTGCGCAGCCCCACATCCAGCTCAAACTCCTGCACTGGGGCCAGATTGCACCTAAGACACACACACTAGGGTAAATGAAAGGGTCTGCATGCTGTCCAAAATCCAACACCAGCTCTCAGGGGCACTGCGGGTGGGGGGAGGAGAGACTGGGGGTTGACACTGACCCTGAGATTTTTTTTCATCACAAAAACTTTTTAGAAATACAGTCATTCTGATAAGTGTTGTTTGGTTACATAAAAGTACATGCACTACAAAAAAAACTAATATATATATATATATATATAATACAATAAAATGCTCTTCCTAGCAGAAAGATAAGAACATAAGAACATAAGAACATAAGAACTATACAAACGAGAGGAGGCCATTCGGCCCATCGAGCTCGCTTGGGGAGAACTTAACTAATAGCTCA